AGAGAGAGCTTCTCGGGATAAACATCACGAGAGTAGAAGACAAAAAAACCCCGGATAGGCACTGGCAGAAATCCCGAAAGGAGGTACCCTAATATATTCATATTGTTGTATAATTTTTGGGTAGCAATTAAACAGCAACTATCCAGGGAGGGGAATTCTACCTTCTGTGAAATAGAAGGCTGTAAGTTTGCTTTTGGTTTTTAAATTTTCACTTTGGTAGATACCTGTGAATAATGTGGTACGTGTGTAAATTAAAATTTTTTCCCCCAAACTAATATGTAATAACATGTAGCAATGAAAACATATTAAATGATTTCAGACAGATTTTGTAATTTTTTCAAGTATGAATTTAATGCCCTTTTTGCCAAAAAATAGCTGAAAAAGCACTTTCTTCCTTACTATCGCCCACCCCCCCCCTCTCTTTTCTTCTTTTTTTTTTTTTTTTTTTTTTTTTTTTTTACACAGGGTTTACAAGGTTTTGGATCCCTACTTTATTTACAGCTATATTAAGTTAAGGACCCCTAATTTTATTGGCAACTAAAAGTGTTCCCACATCAGCTCATTTTTAAAGCATTTTTTTGTTATGAACATACAAGTAGGGACAGGTGAAGTTTTGGGGCCATCGGGGCCAGCATTTTTATTGATCAATGACTTCATCTCGTTGAAAAATTAAAGCGGGGAATGTGTTTTGCCCGGTTTGGGGTTTTTTAAATTAGATGGGTGATGTTTGGGGGAGGGTAAACAGCCAAGGGGGGGGGGGGTTTTGCCCCCTTTGTGGAAAAGCTTTTTTCAGTTTTCCCGAAGGGATCCCAATGGGATTTTGAAAATAGGCTTGGACATAACGTAAGGCAACCCACACCCTTATGTTTAAGGGTCCCCGGCCGAAAAATGAAAAGATTATCCGGGGGTCCAGGAGGTGAAGTTTTCCTTTCTTCCCCCTTGTAGCGTCGCGTGAAGGGGGGGGGCAGGCAAACCCAAAAAGTGGACATCTCAGTTGGGTCTTGTGCCTGTAAAGGGTTGCAAAAACCCTCTGTAACAAAGGGGTGCGAGAAAAAATACGGCGAGGCTGTAAAGCTTCCTGGCCTGCCTTGGGTTTAAAAATTTACAACATGGTTCTTCATGGTTTTGTTTTTGGGGTCAAATTTCACCCCAAGGATATCAACTTTTTCTCCAGGTGCCAACATCCCCCCATTTATCCTTACTACTGCACCCGCATTACCATCATGGTGCCTAGAGACGATCACCCATTTGCTTTTTCTCAGGTGCAAATGTTATTTTGCCATCTTTTTTCCATCTATTTTCTCTCTTCTCTTTTTTCTCTCTCTTTTTTTTCTTCTCTCTTTCTCCTCTCTTTTCTCTCTCTTTCTCTCTCTCTCTCTCTCTCTTTCTCTCTCTCTCTCTCTTCTTTCTCTTTCTTTCTCTCTCTTTCTCTCTCCTCTTTCTCTCTTTCTCTCTCTCTTTTCTCTCTCTTTTCTCTCTCGCTTTTTTTCTCTCTCTTTCCCTCTCTCTCTTTCTCTCTTCTCTCTCTTCTTTCCTCTCTTTCTCTCTCTTTCTCTCTCTCTTTTTTTCCTCTTTCTCTTTCTCTTTTTTTTTTTTTTTTTTTTTTTTTACACAGGGTTTGACAAGGTTAAGGATCCCTAGCTTTATTGACAGCTTTTTAAACAGGTTAAGGATTCCTAACTTTATTGGCAAGCTAAGAGCTGTTACCTACATCAGCTCATTTGAAAGCATTTTTGTTATGAGACATACAAGTAGGGAAACAGGATAAGTTGGAGCCATCTGTGGGCCAGCATTTCATTTGATCAACTGACGTTATCTCGTTGACTTTCATTATGCTGTACGAATGTGTTCCATACTCGAGTCATCCTGGGTATGTAGATCTCAGATGGAGTGATGTTCTGGAGAAGGGTACAGCCAGAGTGAAGTTGCTGCTTTCTGCCCGTCTTGTGGCATAAAGCTTGTTTCACGCTGTCCTCGAAGTGGATCCAAGTGTGGTTATTTTGACAATATTGGCCTTGTACATAACAGTAAGGCCACCCACATCCCTCCTATGTTGAAGGCTCTGCTGAAATGACAGATCTACCCAGGATGGGTCCAGGCGGAGATTGAGACGTTTTGCTCTTTTTCTCTACTCTGTCAAGCAGTGCAGATGAGGGGGGGGGCAGGCAAAACCAAGAAAGTGGACCCTTTACTCAAGGTGTGAGCGTACTTGTGCCTCTACAGGATCTTGCAACCCCTACTGTCAAGCAGATGCGAGATACGGCGAAGTGCGGGAAAGCTTCCTGGCTGCCTTGTTTGCAAGATTTACAACATGGTTCTTCATGGTTAGTTTGGAGTCAAATTTCACCCCAAGGATATCAACTTCTTCTCCAGGTCCCCAACATCGTCCCATTCATCCTTACTACTGCGCCAGCATTACCATCATGGTGCCTAGAGACGAACATCATTTGCGTTTTTTCAGGTGCAAATGTTACTTGCCATCTATTTCCCCAAGCTGAATAGCTCTCGGGCTGGTGATTGATGTAGCTTAGAGCAGCTGGCATTTCTTCTCTTGGATAAGTGAATGTCAGTGTACAGCGTCTGCATATGCATGTAAATTCTGGGATGAGATGAAGAAGGTCGTTGAATAGACATTCCATAAACAGGGGGACCCAGAAACACTTCCTTGTGGAACGCTTGCCCAATAGGATGCCTTGCTGATTCCGTTCCATTGAGGACTACACTTAGAGATCTACCATGAAGGGTAATCACTGAGGAGACATAGGTAGAGCCTGCAATTCCCAGTGCTTGAAGTTTTGCTAAGGCCCTGGTGCCACCCCCGGTCGAAAGCGCCAGCAATGGTCCAGTGCTACCACACAGCTGACTTTGGATTCATCCAGTGACTGGTGCCACTTAGTGGAGAGGTTTAACAACAATCAGCAGCAGAGTAACCTTTCCTGAAGCCATATTGACGATCACAAAGTAGTGAGTGGTAGTCAAAAAAATCTGTCATTTTTCTTGAGATTATTGTCTCAAGGATCTTACCAGTGATTGACAGGAGTGACACTGGTCTGTAGTTGCTGATTTCTGCTCTGCTCTTCTTTTTGTGAAAAAGGGACTACATTTGCCTCTTTCATGGAGAGGGCCATTACACTGTACTAGGCAGTGCTGAAGATGCGAGTTTTGAGGTGCTGCTAGCTGGTCTGCACATCTTCTCAACAATCTTGGGCTCAACTTGTCTGGGCCCACAGCCTTTTCTTGGTCAAGTGATTTAAGAAGGAAATGCACCTCCTCCTGCCCTTATTTTTCACCACTGACATTTTGACACAGTTCTTGCAGCTAGCCAAGGAGGGTCCCTTGCTGGATCAGGAACTTGCATTTTGGTAGCAAAGTGTTCAGCAAAGAGGTCCGCCTTCTCTTGACTACTAGTAGAGGTGGTCCCATCCTGTCGATTTAGAGGTGGAATAAGTTCATCAGGCAGATAACCTTGTCTGTCCTTGACCAGGGACCACCAGGTTTTGGAAACCTACCCTACCTGAAAGCTAACTTTCTTTTAGTGTCCCCCCTCCCATTTAGTAATGGCCCACTTTTGAAAAATCACCCATATGCCTACAGGCTTGCATGTGCAAGTTCCTGTTATAGGGGGTAGGATGTCTCTTAACCTTCGCCATGCTTTGTACTTAGCAGTAGCAGCCTCTCTACAACGAAAGCCAAACCAAGGCGATCTGTAGGCTTTGTCACATATTGCCGGTGAGGAATGTGTTCTTGTTGCAGATTAAGGATGTGTCCAGTGAAGGCTTTCACTTGGTTGTCAACATCCCCCTGGGGAGAAGAGCATTCCAGTCGGTGGTGGCGAGCTCAGAGCAAAGGGCTGGCCAATTACCTTTTTTCCCATAGCCAGGTTGTGCGTGTGGACTCCTCACATCGTTCTGTTGGGATCTTAAGTGTTGGGAAAAACAGCCTTGTGGTCAGACGATCCAACGTTGCCGAGGGGTTGACAAGTGACTATTTCCTTTGCCAGATCACTCACTACTTTGGGGCAAAGGGGGGAGCCAGAGATTATGAGTAGGGAAATCAAAAAAAGTTTCTCATGTCAAACACTGCAAGAAGGTCATCAAAGTCCCTCTGTATAAGGTGCTGGTTGAGGTCACCAACAATTATAATATGTTGACAGTTGTGTTGTAGCAGAAGGGAGTCAATATTTTCCATTAGGAAGTTGATAGGGTCTGCATGTTGCCACTGAGGTCTGTACATTGCACATGCTAGTACAGAGGTACTAGTGTTTATACAGAGCTTGAAGAACATCATTTCAAGATGTGTAGGGGTGGCAACATCTATGTGCTGGGCATGAACACTTTTAGAGAAGCACACAGCAACACCACCTCCTTGCCCTTGCCTGTCTCTTCTCATCCATGAGGTGTAGCCAGCAATTCTTGCAAAATTTTTCTGGAGTCCTCTCTCTCTTCCTCTCTCTCTTCCTCTCTCTCTTCCTCTCTCTCTTCTCCTCTCTCTCTTTCTCTCTTTTCTCTCTTTCTCTCTCCTCTCTCTTTCTCTCTTCTCTCTTTCTCTCTTTCTCTCTCTCTCTCTCTCTTTCTCCTCTTTTCTCTCTTCTCTCTCTCTTTCCCTTTCTCTTTCTCTCTCTTTTCTCTCTCTCTCTTTCTCTTTCTTTCTCTTTCTTTCTCTCTTTCTTTCTCTTTCTTTTTCTTTCTCTTTCTTTCTCTTTCTCTCTCTTTCTCTCTCTCTCTCTCTCTCTCTCTCTCTCTCCTCTCTCTCTCTCTCTCTCTTTCCCCCTCCCCTAAAAATTCTTCCTGTCTACCCCCGTCCATTTGAGATGCTTGATTGTATATGTAGTGGGTGGTAATATCACTAAAGATTCTGCTTACAAAGTTGATTATACCTCAAGTGTGTTAAAGGGATAAATTTAGACAAGCCTCCATATCATTTGGGGTATTCAGATGTTTTTTGTACTGTATAGTGAAGTTAACATGAAATGACCTTGATATCAGGTGTATTTTTTCCAGGGCTGGTACTCCAGAGAATGGCGAAATTACAGATGAACGGTCCAGAGATGGTATTGAATAAAATGAACATAGCAGATTGTGGTACCAACGAATTTGTGTATTCAAACAAACCGGCTACTGAGTGTTTGATGTTATTCATTGTTTTACATTAATGTATTTAATTTGTTGACCATTTACATCATATCTTATGCCATGTTCATTTACTCATGTCTAATAGCAAGATTCTATGCCAAGTACACGACACATTTTTAGTGTCCCATTTTTTTTCATCTACATAATTCTGTAATTTATAACTTTTAAGCAAATCACTTCCAGATACCTGAATTAAAACACAAGTTTCGAGAATACTCCCTTTTTCTTCCCTTAATGTCAGCATGGAGTGTCAAGAAAGAATGTTTGCCCATCACATGAGTAGCTTGCTAAAGACCCAATATAATATTTATATATGATGATTTGGGGTAGGTGAGGTATTTGCTTGCATTTTACACAAATAGGTCATTATTTCTTTTGTAATATAATTTTTAAAATTGTCATTGGCAGTGCCTATTTTGTGTGTAATGCATTGATGCTGATTCATGAATTGCATGTCTAGTTGTCGATTGCATATTTCAAATCCTCCAAAATTATTTTGTAAATGTGTGGCTCTGCATATAGAGTATGCAAAGGCTATTTTATCTGCATATAGATTATGCAGATTTAAGTTACTGTAGAGAAATCTTCATAGAAAATAGTGAAGGCCTGAGTACATGCATTAGCTAAAATTCAGTGAAGATTTTTTTTTTTTAATTTCTGAAGCTTGACCAGGAGAGCTAGTTTACGAGTAGTATTACATGTTAGTGGTAGAAACAGAGGTGTAGTAATCGTACAGATTTTTTGTCAACTGAGGATACCCCATTTTTACTGGAGTGAGGTTTCTGCTGTACACATGTAATTTACTTGAATTAAAAATTTGAAACTGCTAAGGTTTTTATTTAATATTTTAATGTGCATCCTTTCTCCCATTCAGTGCTAAATGGCCCATGTGGGATATTGGCAGGGATATTTCCTAGGGAGAAATTTGCTCCTTGAAGGAAAGAGGCCACTGTCCAGCTCTGTTCTGGTGTTTCTTCAAAGGGTAGTGCTACCCTCGAGAAAATTGGACCGTGTTGCAAGATGTTAGGCAGCTGATAAGATATAAAGCGGCCCTCCAGTAGTGGAGCCAGGAATGGCAGTAGTGTATGACTGTGCTTAATCTAGTTTGCCCTTTATTAGAAGAATGATTGTTCCTTTGTGTCTAAATAGGTGGGTTTGCTAAGCCTTGCTCCATTAATTCTCTTCAAAGGGGTTTGTTGACATGGAGGCTTCTGATCTAAGGAATTTTACTTTTGCTTCCTTGAGCCAAACCAAATTGCCCACTCCTTCCCCATCCTACTTCCTTTTCCCCACTCCTGTGTCCTACATTCAGCCTTTGAGGATTTTCTCCTTGAAATTATAGTTCCTTGGTTGAAGAAGGGATCATTGTCTGTCCCATTCTGTTGAGGCCCTTGATGGTATTGTTTGCCACCCTTGGAAATTCCAGAGGGTGGCTTTGAGTGTTCTCAAGATGAGTGTTTCTCTAGAGGCTGTTCGTTCTAGGTGATGGTAGCCAAAAGATGTATGCCTATGGAAAGGTTTCCGACCTGCCTCTCTGTCTACCGAGGTGGCTTTATGGAGGTGAAGTTGTTATCCTGGATTGGCATTAAGGGTTGGGGTTTCAGAGTGTATTAATATAAGCATCTGCATACTGCTTCACAAAGGAAAACCTTTCGTATGGAAGGGGAATAAACTGGTCAGTTTTTCTTGGGAGCTATCCCCCCCCCCTTTTTTTTTTAAACTCGATGCTTTCTCCCAAGCCCTTCAACAGCATCCTTACATGACCCTAACACCAGTACCCCTTTGGGTACATCTCATTGGTAACTGTGGTGTGGAGTTCCAATGACCCTTTGGGATATTTCATCATTCTTGACATGATTGGCTTTTCCACTTACAGTGCATCACACATTAAGGGGCGGTGATTCCGCCCCCTACCCCAGTAATGATGAAGCTAACCCTGTTACTGCTACCCCTTGTTCTTATGCTCAAACCTGATCAAAAATCTTTCTTCCCCACAATCTGCCTCTTCAAGGGGGGCTCCTTGTTGTGGTGAAGAGGCTCTTGGACTGAGGAATTAGACCTGTCGGTCCCCTTCCTCAGACCGAACCTAATTACCCCCCAACCCCCCCCCCCCCTTTCCCTATCCCATCCTACCCTTTTTCCTTTCCTCCTCCTCCTCCCCACCCCTCCCTTTTGCCCTTCCTCTTTTTGGCCTTTGGGATTTCTCCCACAGGCACGCTAGTTCTTAGGTAGGGGAAAGGATACCGGGGTCCATCCCATTTCGTTTGAGGTTCTTGGCGGTGGCGTAGTTTGCCGTGGAATCTGGATCGCCTGGGGTTTGTCCCGATCCCTCTCCGGTACCCCGGGGAGTAACTTTAGGTGTCTTTCGGGCGACGAGTGTATCTCTGGAAGCCACCTTTCGATTCCGGGGTGGGGGCCCGAAGGAGGTATGCTTTGTGGTGGATTTTCCGGCCGCCCTCTCTTTTGCCCAAACGAGGTAGCTCGGCAGATGTGAGGTTGCTACCCCCGGATTGCTGGTTTACTGGCAGAAGGGTAGGGTATGGCACGGGTTCCATGCTGCATCTGCACTACTAGCAGTGCTGAGGTCCTCTTGGGCGCGGAGGGAGATTTCCGGCCCCTTCTTTTCCTCCTGGGAACTATTCCTCTCCGCTCCCCCCTTTTTTTATTCTTTTTTTTTTATTTTTATTTTTTTTTCTTAACAAAAAGCAAAGGAGTAACCTAACCATGGAGAACCCAATCCATGAACCCACTACCCCGGGCCCCCTTCTTGATACCAAAACCCCATTCTGACCCTGCCTTGTTTTTAGCCCACCCCTTCGGCACTCCTGATGCCCCTGTACCACTTGCTGGTGCTGTTTCCTCACCCGCTTCAGGTACTGGGGCTTCGACTGACTCCTTCGATTTGTCTGACCTCCGCTCTCCTTTGACTATGCTTCCGGCCTCTCCCTCTACGGTATGGCAATTTTCGAATTGCCTGCCCATTTCATGCCGGACCAACTCCGGTCCTACTCCTAAACGCCAACGTCAATCTCCTGATGATGCTCCTTCGTTACCTTCCCATTCTACTCGGAAAAGACCGACACGTCATGCACTCCCTCTCCACGCTCGGTTTCGGACCACACAATGGACTAAATTCTTTACTTTAAGACCGACTTCTTTTTCTGCCTATCTTTCTGGCCATAGTATTGGCAAAGCGCTCCTGCGTCATGTTAGCAGAGATATTTCATTCATGCTCTCAAGAGCGGTACGCGCAGCGTCACTGTCCAGAATGCTACCCAAGCTCATGATCTTTCTCTCCTTTCGAATATCGATACTACTACTATTCACTACTACTCCTCACAGGACTCAATGACTCTCCCACAAAGGGTCCGTCGCTTTATTCATAAAGATGATTACCCACGACCCATGATATTGAGCAACCTCCCTGATGAAGAGGATTGGGTACCACCAGAACCCTTCTATGTATACTGAGAAAATCATCGCCCCCAATTAGGGAGACATCATATATAACTTTCTAATGTAAAAATTATGCTATTTACTATGGCTGGACACCACCTGTAAGAAGCCATTGTCACGAAATTTATAAACTGGCCAGAAAATTATGCCTGCCTTGTCGCATAAACACCCGTTGTGCAATCGCAAAAAAAAAAAAAGCAATTGCAACTTGTGTAATTACTACCAATTCAGAGTCATGTACTTATAAATCTGTTATATCTATGTGTCTTTGATGGGTTAGTCTTATACCCCTTAACCCTTTGAGGGTCGACAGGTCCTCTCCGAAACTCGTTCTCAGGGTCGGCCAAATTTAAAAAAAAAAAAAATTATTTTCTCTTATGAAAAGATAGAGAATCTTTTCCCGATCATAACGACACCAAAAGTTTGAAATTTGATAGAAAACTTACGGAATTATGCTCTCGCAAAGTTAGCGGTCTCGGCGATGTTTACGGATCGGCGATTTTGCCCACTTTGAGCCCCATTTTCGGCCAATTTCACTGTACTAGTCGACAAAAAACATGAATATTTCGCTAGAACTCCATTTTTTCTATCGAATGGGTGCAAGAAACCACCCATTTATAAATTCAACTATCCAGTACAGTGGTCAGAATTTAGCAATTTTGCCAATTTCACACAAATTTCAAAAGATGCCAATTTCGGAATAGGGTCCAGAATAAACAAGAAAGACATTCCTGGCACTAAAATGACATTTCCTCTAGTCATTAGTCACGTCTCAAGGCCCCTCTTATATTCTTTTGCTTTCCACTTTGAATTTTATTCTCACAAAAAATATAAGATTTACTGTTATGCAGACTACTGCCATTAGTGTAAAAAATGGTATAAATATTATTGGTGCACTTGTAAAAGAATATTAGACTCACCAGTTGACATGTATTGCACGTTTGGGCCCACGATTTGTTTACTTTTGAAGTTTGGTAAAAATCGAACATTTCTGCTTACTTTGAGCTCAATTTCAAGGCACCTTTCATTGTAAAACCAGTCAGAATCATCTCAATTTCAGTAATATGTCTTCCATTCTATAAAATGAGACCAAGAAAACTAGAATACAACAATAAATACTATACGAAAATACACTGCAAAGTCGCTGATTTATTAAAAAAAAATGGAAAAAGTTTTTTTTTTCTCATTATGCACCATGTGCTGCAGGATTTTTTTTAGACTGTGCACACTGACCACATAGACCCATTCTTTCATATGAAGGCCTACCAGCTTTCTCCCACTAGATTTGAGGTCGCTAGAATTTATGAGTACTAGTACGTCAAAAACCCCTACGCGTAAGACGTACTAGTACGACGAAAACCCTCAAAGGGTTAATTAAATATATTATTTCACGTACACTTTTTAAATTGCACCAAAGTGGTTGGGCCACTTGCCTTTATATCCTACCTCTCACCCCCCTCCCACCCTTTTCCAATATTTCCATCCTTACCCATCCTTCTTCCTTCCCCATCTCACCAAAGCTCTGGTCTGAATAAGAATAAGAACAAGAACAAGAACAAGAACTACTACTATCACTATTGAAAAACATCTTCTCTCAATTCTTGTAGTGGTACTGTCATTCTGCCCCATACCATAGTCCAACAGAATTTCCAGTCATGTGGCAATGACATTTTTGAACAGCTGGAACTCCAGGATCTCCCAATCCTCAAAGTAGACACTTATGTCCTTCCTGCCCGTGGGCGGAGACGTTACCCTTGCAATGTGGCTCGTTTAACTTTTGACAGCCGAGAACTCCCATCCTCTGTATATGTTGCGGGACATCGGTTACAGGTTCGAAAGGTGATGCCTACACCGCAACAGTAGAAATTGCTGGTGTTTTGGTCACCCAGCGAAATATTGCAGATCTATGGCCGAATGCCCAGTCTGTGGTACCGACGACCATTCTAATACATCTTGCAGTCAACCTCCATCTTGCCTTAATTGTAATGAAGCTCACCCTTCATATTCCCGCCGTTGCCAGGTCTACTTAAATGAACGTGAAATCCGTTGCCTCAGAGGCAGAAGGTCTCCCTTATGCTATGGCAGTTACTCATCTCCGCCTCCAAGGGAGACTAACCCGTGTTTCAAAACATCCCCCCACTTCTGGGGTCCCATCTTCTGCAACCTCCTCTGTTGTTACCCCTCCCATAGCCACTCCGGCATCTAATCCTTTTGCTGTCCTTGGCTCTGACGTCCCGACTACAACTCAGTCTGTTCTCACATCTTCGCGTCCTTCCTCACAAGCCCCAGTATCGAGAAGACCTCGTACGACACCTAATACCAATCGCCCCTCTACTTCTCAGAAGTCCAAAAAATCCACATTGCTCAAATCATC